ACTCGTTTTTCATCATGTTTTGTGGTGTAATGATTTTGATATTGCCAACATCTAAATGAGTTCAACAATGAGTTTCAGAGTGACTGCAGGGTTGGTTAGACTGTTTTTCATTGAGGGTCGAAAAATACACACATCTGATGGCCATAGATCAGTGGTCGCTGGTCAAGACTGTGAATTTATCAAAGATTTCAATCTGCAGCTACATCTCACGCCAGTAGGTCCTAATGGTAGAATATGCTAAATCTACTAAATGCAATAACAATGATAGACAAAGTAAATTCTATAAAATATCAAAAGGTTGCCTAAAGCAGGAAGCTCGAACATACAGTATATGAATACCTGAAACGCGGACTATATAGATTAATTCCAACCTTCGTTCTTAGAGCAGCTCTCAGCGTGAAAACAACAAACACGTATGATCAAAGTCACCAAGGCTATTTTTGCAATTCATAAAGCATCGTCTAGTGTTAGCCTCTCAGCCCAATCAAAAACAGTGCAGTGGGCATGATGATGGAATTCATTATTCTTTGCATATCTGAGGCCTGCTGCTCCTCCTTCACTCCCAACCCTCAATCTGACAAAATCTATTATCTTGACATGAACATTATGGCTCATTCATGCCTTTCCTTTGGCAGCAGGACGACCACTAGACTTGGCAGACCGTGTAGTTAGCGTCATCCAGCTGTAGGAGCAGAGCTGTGGCAGAGAGCAGCCTCCAGTTTCATCCAACGTCACAGTATATACATGACAGATATAGAAAGATATCTACTTTAATGATCCCCCGTAGGAGAAATTCAGGTGTCCAGCAGCAGAAACACATCCATGCAAACACATAAGTACATAAACATTTCTAACGAACTAACTAACAATAGTGCATACTAATAGGATGCAGTAAACAATGTACTACCAAAGTACTAAACTGCTAAAAGACTGAGTAGCTGTTCGAGATCTCGCAAGGCATTGGCTGTTGGCAAGTATCTTTGTTTTAGGAAGGACCCAATGTTCAATGGGTTTTTTGATTTCTCTTAAATGAGCTCAGAGCACATTTGATGTCATGAATGTGACTGTTCCATTTACAAGGAGCACAGGGGGGGAAAGTGGCATCTCTTGTTTTCAGTTTTTCCTCAGTAAAATCCAATCAATTGAATGTAAAATTGAAATGTAGCTTGTTGCAGTTGCTTTCTTTCTATGGCATTTGCAGCAACTTTTTTCAAGCTGCTGGTCCTGGACTGGTTCTGGTTCAGCTGGCATAGTTTTCCACCAGAAAGAAGCGAGTGCAAATCATCAAACACAAGTTACTGTCAGCAGCTAGCATTAGCCTTTCAGCAAATGGTTTTAAAGTTATATTCACCAGTTTTAGCATGTATTAATATTCACAAGTTATAGCATGTATTAATACTCACTAGTTTTAGCATCAATAGTGACTAGAAGTAAAAACCATATACAGTACATTACAAGTAGTTTCATAACTGTGGGAGTCCTAGTGTTAACCAATGTTCACTATAGGGCATTGGTGTTGAACTCATTCCAGAAAGTGAATCAGTTTCAGTCAGGGAATCAGCCGTCAAATCTTCAGGTCAAGACTCCTTCAGGTCAAGAATCCTGCAGCCACACCTGCTCTTCAAGGACCAGTTTGATACCCCTGCTGTAGGCGGTATACTGTATAAAGTGAGTGATATCTCCCAGCACCATGCAGACGTGTTCAGACAGCTGAGATCCCATAAGTGCAACCGAACAACACGCTTCAACTTTAATCAACGGAGCAGTTCAAAGTTCCAACTCTAGACTCTGATCAATGCGACAATAGATTTTATCACTTTCATGAGGAAAAGAAATGGGACACATCAGCGCTCTGACAGAAACTATAAAACCGTCATAGGTGATATTTTTACATATGAGGGTCTTTTTTTTTCCCAGAGCGATTCTTCAAAGCGTTCACACTCAAAGGGATATGTCAAGTCAAATGGAGACATGTGCAAGGAGCCAATCATAATTCAGGCCTCATACATAATTACTGTCAAAGAAACTTGGCAACATCATTCAACATAGGTCATAAAGAAAGTCAGAATCTAGACAATATTTAAGAGTGAATGTCTGAGAGTCTGTTGTGGTTGGCATCCCATCTCTCAATTTCTCCATAACTTATGATAGCATGCGTGTTGGCAGGGTGGTTAGCCCTGGGGGGTTTACTATAGCTTCTTGAAGACATGCTAACACACACACACACACACACACACACACACACACACACACACACACATCTAGACTATTATGAGCCTATTATGACCTGTTCAAAGGAATCCATCATAGGCCGTATAGAGTAGATGGTGTATGCTAACCCCAAAGCTCAATGAAGCCCAATAGGGAAGTGCTTATGGACAAAGTGTGTCTCCTTCTCGCTTTGACTCCTATTGACTTGCATTGAGAAAGTAAACTTTAGCTCAGTAACCCTTTGTGTCAAATTAATTTGGGCTTTAAAAATCCATGGTTTTGGATTGGATTGGTAACTTGGGTGTTGCTACAGAATTTGCATACACATTCCCACTCAACCTAAATAAACCTTTGCCAAATAACGCCTAACAATACAACATCAATACTCGGTCAGTCCACTCCTAATAAACAGTCTAAGCTAAATATACAGCAGGGGTGTAGAACTCATTTTGGTCAGCGGGCAAATAAACAGGAGCTGGTCGCAGGCTGAAAGAATATAAGGAACGCATTTTGACAGGACTTTTATGTGACATGAGTTTCACTATAATTTTCTGGTTATTTTTCTTGAAACCAAAATATGTTTATTGTTTAGATTTAACCAAAACTGGACCAAATTTAGATAATAATGTTAAACCCAATGCTTTATATTTAACTTGATGGTTAAAGTTTTAGAATAGAAAAAGAGAATGTATTACATGCCTTGGTTGCCCATAGCCATCATAATAACATAATAACAATAATTGAAAATCATTTTAGGGGCCAAATCATTTTCTTGCAGCCAGATTTGGCCCAAGAGCTGTCTGATATACAGTTTTTTAAAAATGTTTTTATGCCCTGTGCTGCTCAAACGAATTGCCCCTGGTGGGATAACTAAAGTAATCTGAATCTGAATCTGAAGTATATGTCTACAGCCGGAAAAGACAGAATAACCCTGACATTCATAGCTGTCATTGTCTTGTCGCCGTAAATCCAACTCGGGAAAATAATCCACAATACAATACTTTCCACATGGATGTTGACGTTATTGCAGTAATACTACGTTGCCTGGAAGCCACATGCATGTCACCTCAAGTACATTTATCATTACTCAAAGATCCAGTGCATGTCATGGGTGATGTTAATAGTCCCTGTTGGGGGCTAATGCGCACAGTGAAGGGCTGGCATGTTGTAGAAGTGACAGGGCATGATCAGATGAGCAGAGATTGGAAGGATCATCTCTGAGGCACTTGTAAACAAAGCTTTATGTGTAATGGATGAAAGGACCTTAAAGCAATGCCACATGAAACTGTTAATCCATCGGTTATATGAGAAACTGTGTTGTCTATGGACTTGGACTAGGATTAAATTGCTAAAGTTGAATCGCAAAGTGAGATATATCAAGCCGCTATTTGTTATAATGTTGATAATTATGACTCACAGCTTGTAAAAACCCCTTAAAAACATAGCAGAAAATGTGAATAATTGGAATTGGTCACACAAAATGGACTGCAAGCCAATTTCAAAACAACAGTGGCTCAGTTGGTTGAGCATTTGCTTTTGAGCCTGAAGGTTTTGGGTTCGAGCCCACCACAAGACTTTCTCCACCTACTCCCACTGATGTCCGCTGTCGTTGTGTCCTTGGGCAAGATACTTAACCCCACTTTGCCTGAAGCCTCTGCTGAAATTCAAGGCTATGCTCTTACTGACAGAGCTCTGTGAATTGGGTGGCAGCTGATTCTCCCCCGGCCCAGAAATGGACCAAAGGGGAGAAAATATGTCACTTATACATGTCATAAGTCTATATCACATGTTGTTTTCATATTTTAAAGGAGCAATATGTAAAAATGTGGCCAAAAGTGGTACTGCACTCTCCCTGTCAATAGCAAATCTATAACCAACACCTTTTTCACTAAGGAGCCGATAGAAATCCTCATTTTATTCCTTGTTTTGCCGTTAATGATTTGAGAATCCTGACGAGACCTTTTTTAATTCTGCGGCCTGACATTTTACTTTACCAGTGGGATTAGCTCGACGCGGTGAGTTCAACCCAGATCACGGACTTTCTGATTGGTAAAACGGTGGAGGGCGGGACATTGAAATGAAAGCAATAACAAGATTTAGGGGCTGTAAATCTAACTTTGAAATTCAAATAATAAAGTATTGGAAATGAGCATGGTTTATTAAAGCCTTTTGACAGATTAGGGCCATTTAATGATGACAATATGAAAATCTTACATATTGCTACTTTAATGTTGTATCTCCCCAAATGAAATGAATACTGTACTTCACAACTATTGTCCTTCTTTCTGTTACATTGAGTCATATATGCAGTGAAACACACATGCAGTATACGCTCTTTGGTTTATAAATAGAACATTAGGACTGCGGTATATTAGCCACTTCTCTAAAACACTGAAAATCATGGAGGTTACACTGTGGTTTCAGTGCTGGGAGTTAGAACCCACAGTGTTTTTGAGCAAGTAGCAGCAAAAATCAAAGCAGATTTTTCACTTGTTGAAGTAAGTAATATTCCATTATGAAGGATGCAGATTAATGTGTTTTTGCCATCTGTAATAGCGCTGTACATTAGTTTTTCTCCCAATAGACTTTGTCACTGTGGCCCAGTGCTCGTTTTAATTAACACAAAAGCCTCGAGACGATAATTAAAAACGCAGCGAGATGATTCTCCACAAGGTAAGGATCACAGAATGTAGCGCGAGGCAAATTAAAAGATGCATCATAATTTAACACATATGGTTCATGGAGATTTTTTCCATTAATTAAATAAATAACACAGAAAAGTGACTTACTTCATTGGCTTGAACAGCGCCTGTCCATAGTTCTGGAAAGTCATTATCAGCTTCAGCTGCGTGCCTCCGGATTTCATGGCTACAAAAACACAAAACATTCATTTCAGTATTTGATTATTACTTTATTTGTTCCGACTCCGCAGCTGCACTTGTTTGTCCTCTCTCTGATATTTGTGTATATGTGTGTTTGTGGAATGTTCAGTCCTGGTTTTACAGTCTTGCCATAGACTTGCATTGGTCCTGTTTAGTCCCAGTTAATCCAAGACAAATGCCGCATGGGCGAGGGGGGGAAACTAAACCTCACACTGCTCCTTTTACTAAATCAACATCATCATATTTCTACTATTATTAATTAGATATCATATTAGATTATAAAACAACCCCCGTAAGAATTTCTATACTTTCTATAATGATACACATCAAAATTGATGTTTGGTCTTTGGATGAATTATGCGTCTCCCTTGTGTGATGTCATCATGTTTATGTTTCAAGTGCGGCCTATATGCGGACAACATTTACTTTCTTGTCCAATTCAGCTGGTGCGGCTTATATACAGGTGCGCCTTATAGTCCAGAAAGTATGGTGAGTATTCAAGATTCAAGATTCAATCAACAAAAGTACTTTCTGAGCGTCATTGTAATAATAGAAAGTGTAGAAGTTGGCAGGATGTAACAGGCACAGAACTGTAGGAGGTAGATTAGCAGAACAGTTATTTGCGACAATGCACGACCAGTGAATAACAGTAATGGCAGGTATGTAAAAGTGGAGGATAATGGGGGTCCGGGGGGTGATGAGGGGGGCAGTGTTCGTTAAGCCTCTACCCCCATCTGACAGCCTGGGGGTAGAGGCGGTTGGCCATTCATGCATGGTTCATGTAGTATTATTAAGTGAAACCCAATTATTTGGTGATGATCCAGGACACTCAACATTCAGCAACATTTATAGACATGTATCAACACTTTTGTGGGTTTGTGACTGTTGGATTTTCTGATCTGTGTTGGCAAATTCAACAATTTTGTAAAGTCCTCCGAGATAATTACTTTTGTGATTAGGGCTATACAAGAACACATTGAATTGAATTGATTTGTATTTACAACAAGTTTTGTCCCACCAAATACAACTCACATTAGAAATCTGAAATGCAGTACAATCAGGCTTCTAATCAGTGTCCGTCCATAATGGAACCACATGTATAACCCTCCTGTTCTGTCCTCTCTGTGCTTCATGATGTGCCCGTACACACCGCTCCACGGTTTCATTAATTTCTTCGGCTCGTAAGGCGTCTTGGCTTCATCTTACTCACCCTTTGGCAGCACACCCAATTTACCGTGACTCACTTTCAAAAGCTTGTGGGGATTTTGAAAAACACTGTTGCATCTGAGTCCAACCCAAACGACCCCGAGTGAGAGCGGCGTCTCGTCTCCAGGAGGAAACAGATACATTGGCAGCATCACGGCGGCGGTACCACGTTAGCGGTTTTGTCAGAGAATATGGCCCAAAGAAATCTTATAAACTCGATATAGAGAGACAGCGAAACCTTTGTGGATCCAGCGATGATTCAGCGACATGACCTTGAACCTTATAAGCTACAATCCGCAAGGGGTTTTTGTCTTGGTAGTGTCCATTTAGAAAAGGTTGACCTAATGAATGGACAGAAGTTAATCCCTGTAGATTGTGTGTTTTGACGTGTGCAGTGATCTCACTTACGATTTACGGTAGCGGACTTGGCTTATGTTACAGGCCAGGCCATGTACAGTATGACACACAATCATACACAATTGATACAATGTCTTCTATAAAATTTATATTATTGCATCACAAGACTCGTCATTGAAGCATACACTGCAAAAATGGAAGAATTGTTCAAGATTTGCCAATGGGAGAAGCAAAATGATATTGATGCAAGAAATATCTCCCTTGGAATGAGAAAAAAATGCATCAGTTCTTGACGTAAGACTCATTGGTAAATCTTGCTAGAATCAGAACGTACTCTTATTAAGATAAAAACCACTTGATTTAAGCATTTATTACCTCATATTTTATCATGTTTTGCAGTGCAGCGGTAATGTCGCTTAATAATACCCAGCCTTGTGTCTATTTCTATTCTATATGTGCAATAGTGAGATGTTTTTTTTCTCTATAAGAAGAGAAGTGATGTGAAGCAGACCAAAAGAGGAGCCCTGAATCTGTATAAGAGATAGAGGACAACAAAAATCAATAATAGAGATAATTGAAATAAAAATATGTAAGACAAATATAATGAAACAAATGCTTATGGGAACCGAAGTCGCTATGTAGAATATGTCCAGTATTCAAGAGCTTGTGCAGCTATTTAAGTTTGACAAATGCACTGCAATTACATAAAATACCTCATTTCGCCCTCGACTAAAAGATTGAAAGGGGGGGTATATATATTTATTGGCTGCCTCATGTGCCACATTAATAACACTCATACATTAGGTGGTCACGGCTGCCTGAATAACATGGGCAATTCATAACTTGCATAGACTCATTCTGAACCTTGTTGCCGAGGAACCATTCTGCTTGTTTTCCGTCTTTGGTAACGCACAAATTGCCTCTTCGAAAACCTGGCGCTGCGTCTGTCCTTCTCACCTGAACCCCACTCACTGTGATTTTTGAGTCCAGAGACTGAAGCAAAAGGCCAACGCTGGACCCAACACAGAGACAGTGCTGATCCAGGATTTTTGGCTCCACTGTTTTTGGTAATTCTACTGAGACAGATAAATGCTATGTGCACGACCAATTAGGGGCACAAACACTCATAAACTTCAGACAGGGATCTTGTTTTTGCAGACATTCTTTATAGGGCTTGTCTGGTCCCAGATCAGGGGGAGACGAAAGGCATTAAAGTGACATTGTGAGTGACTGACAGTAATTAAAAGGGCAATGAAAAAAAAAAAAAAAGTTCAAACACGTTTTTACTTTTAAAGAAATAACTATCAAATGAAAACACTTTAAAGTTGCAAGTTGCATGATTTAAAAGATAAAAATAAAATGGTTTAATCCTTACTTTGGAACTCCAATGAAGTCTATGTCATATACTGTGTAAGTAGGGCTGGGCAATATGGCAAAAAAGTAAAATCTCAATTTTATTTCCTGCTTTGGACGATTTTGATTTTAAATTGATTGAAGTCACCGAAGACAGACTTTGCCCTAAAAAATATGTTTTGATCTTTCAGCTCAATATTCAAGTTTCAAAACAATGTTTTATTTGTTTCCCCAGTACGTATTAAAAAAGTCTTGTACCGACTGTGATGATATTGCAAGTATAATTCATGTGCGGCTGGAACTCTCACAATTTCCTTCATTCAATTTCACGATTTTCAAGTTTTTCACAAATGCGGTTTTTACAAAAGCCGATTTATTGCCTACATTTGATGTATTGCCCAGCCCTATGTGTAAGACTATATTCTACTGTTGCATTTCATGTGTTTCAACTGATTCTCTGACCTGTGTTGTCGAATTCAATGGTTTTGTTAAGTCCTCTCAGATAACTACTGTTGTGATATAAGGCTATACAAGAATACATTGAATTGAACTGAATAAAGTCAAAGAATGTATAGTGTATGCATGTTTTTATACTTTAATAAGTGCAATGAACCCATGCATTACAACAAGCATGTATATTGTAAGACGGTTCAGTAACACAATTCAGTTCATGTATAGCTGTTTTAAGGGAGAAGGGAGGATGTATAGCAAGGTGTAGTAATCCAAGAATCAAACTCACAATGCTGAGAAACAGATGATGGTTGCTTAAATGGTCACGGAGATGTGGAGGTTTAGGATTGTTTTTTTTGCACAGTACAGTTAACATTGTAGTTTGACAATGCTGATGTGGATACTGTAGGAGGCTGTACCATATATACTTTCCTCATTATTCTCTCTGTTGAATAAATAAGTCACTGCTCTACCTTATGATGCTATAGGAGCTGGTGACTCACCCACACTGGTGATTCTCTGGCTGACCAGGTCTTTGAGCAGAGCCTCCAGCACGGTGCTGTGTCGGGGGTACAGCTCGTAGCGGTTGATGCCGATGTGGAAGCGCAGCCAGTTTGGGTACGTCTCTGCTGTCCCCTCTGCTGTGGGGGAAAACTCATCCTCCTCTCCATTCCCCTCTTCATGATGCCTAATCATAACAAGAATCATATCAAGATTATTTCTATATGTAATCATATGAGTTAGAGCAAATGAATGGATGTAACGACCTATGGCATGTAATATAATATTGACTATTCAATAGATTGCATGTACCAATAATAAGCTCATCACTTGTGGCACTGGCTAACCAATATTATGGAGCTACTGGTATATTTAATTTCAAAATATGTATTTTTGTCAGGCATAATTGTGATAAATCACTCAATAGCATATATAGCCCTGGGTTAAGCCATTCACACGTGGCTTACTTCATTATACAGACTGAGTGACAATGACAACAATAATAATCATCATAATATGACAACAAGAATATTTAAGCAAACAACCTATATTACTGTGCTAAAGCCAGCCAGAAATAGGTTGACTATAAGCCAGGGGCTTGTATGGGACGGCTTTAATCTGAGTGGTAACTGTCCCACTTGTCCTCTTTAGTGTGTTCGTCGCCCTACTTACCATCCCTGGCCCGTGGTTCTGGGGTAAAATTTGATGTCTGTGTTGACATTAAACAGCGTGTCGTCGTCCGTGAGCGGAGGACACTGAGTCTTGTACAGCGGGTGGGCAAACAGCGCGGAAAGTCTGGATGCTCTGTGTGCAGGCACGGAGCTGCTCTCCTCTATGAGCGCTTTGTGCTGCTCTCTGCCTCCTCTCATCCGTCCGTGAGCTGCGCCTCTATCCGCGGCCGATACGCGCTTCTCCAGGGAGTGGGACGTGAGGTTGGAGCCTGGTTCGTTGCTGAAATCTTGAAGGATCCTCAGAGCGTGTTTGTTGTTAGGCCAGCCGGCTTCAGCTGCTGATCTGACGCGATTCTTCCCCCAGCCCTGCGCCTCTCCTCCCGGGTGATGCGAGCACTGACAGCCGCCCTCCCTGGAGCTTCCGTCCGCTCCTGCACGCTTCTCCAGTTTGGGCAATAAGTCGATCATAATGTGCATCGTGCAGGCCACCAAAAACACCATCAGTAGTAAAAATCTGAATTTTCGAAATAGGATCATCTTGAGCATCTTACAATAGTACCCACATTGACGTCAAAAGCAAAGTGTTGATAAAGCAGCCACGGGAGATCAAAGATGTTTTGTTTACTCCGAGCATTACGCGTGCAGCTTTGCTAAAACTCCATTAGGTGTGCATCTGTTTCAGTCTGAGGTCGCTCTCCCGCAGCTAGATGGAATCATTACGAGGCAGTAGCCGCGGATCAAGTGGCGCTCCTCATTCATTGAGAGAAAGTGAGTCAGACGCACGGAGCACTGGATCAAAAACAGGCTATACTTCTTCGCAGTTGTGACTTAGCGCTGTATTCCTGGTAACAGCAGGTGTCCCGCGGTCCCGCTGCGAGGCTGTGGTTGGTGCAGCTCCCAAAGTTCAGTGTGGAAGTGGAGGCAGGTGCACGGCCGGCGCTTGGCATCCGTCCTCCGTGGCGCGCTTTGTCCCCCGGCCAAGTGCTCATCCCAGGCCGGAGTGTTAAATATTGTGACGGAGCCTCGCTGTCCAGCCTAGTGGCGTCATAAGGGAGAGATGTGCGTGTGCGCGTACAGGAGGACCACAGTGGCACGAAGGGCGAGCGACGGAGAGGAAAAGAGGAAGGACCGAAGCAGCTGGAGCCTGCAATGCCTCTGTGTGCAGCCAGGGGGCGGCAGGGGGGACAAAGGCGTTCAGAGATATGTGCGTCCATGAAAAATTAAGTCTGAAGTCTAAACAGGTCATCGCGATATTACACTATAACCAGCTATGGATACGTTATCTGCACGATCAACATGTGTAAACACAAAGACACATTTTCATGCACGTTATTCCGAAAAAAAGATTTTGAAAGTTACCAAGCCTTAACTCTTATTTTAGTGATATTTCATTGAGATTGAGATTCAGACTACTCTATTTAATCATTTGAGCAGCATAGGGAATAAAAGCCTAACACATGAAAACACAGGAAATGTTAAATAATAACATGATGAATGATAATCATACAATATCACAAATTATATTCTACTAAAATAGTCTACACTTTCACATAGTGCAGGCTCAGTCAGATCAGTTTATATACTTACACAACACAAAACATACACAAACAGCTGCTACGGCTTTTGTTTATGGAGAAAATAGAATAAAAGATTGATTTGAAATGGGTTGTTTCTGATATACTATAATATAAGTGAATCAGAGGCAAAAAAAAGGTTACAGAAAACCCCAAATTTGGTGTTTTAGGGAAATCAGTAAAGGCAATTTGTATTGGAAAGCTTTACTATTCACTTTAATTTGATCATTTTAACTTCCTCCAAAAGGTCCTTCAAAAGTTGAAGAAGGTGAAAAGTTGCCTTATACCTACAAGCTAGTCACCTACAACTGTATTTCCCTTATGAATATTTCCATTTGAATCAAAAGCCTTTTAATCAGCTTATTTATCATCCTCCAACATTAATCCTATACACGGATATCGTGCCGGCTGTCCGCACCTGCCTGCCTTCTCCCGGGCTATTTTCAATTTGCTGATAAATTCAATGCCTGCACCTTTCATTAAAATTGGTCGGGGCAAAACACTCGAGCAAAGGCAATTATGTCTGTGTTTATTTAGACCTCACTGTCTTCAAAACTTCACCGTGGAGTTGTTAAATTGCCTCCTCTTTGAACTTGCAAATCAAATTAGTTTCATTATTTTGTTTTGTGATTTGTAATGCCAGAAGCCTCGTGCAGCAGCTGGAAGCCCAGAGGATTATATTTATATGTTAAAAGGAACAAATGATTCGTGCTTATTTGGTTTGTTATGAGCTGTTCAAAGTGGAAACATTTGGATTCGGTTGGTTGGTGCTCCCGCAGGCGTGTAGCAGGGGTTCACGCCACAACCAGATCTGTGTGTTTGAATTAAACTGCATCCTACAGCAAACAAGTGCCCCCAAAGGCAGAGAGCGGGGCCAAGTCATCTCAGCGCTCAACAACATGTACATGTCGCTACGAATGAACCCTATATGGTTTTTTACATGTCTGGGACCAGTGAGAGGAATGTCATAGAAGTAGTCTACCTAAATAATCGATCTTTACATAAACAATTATATTTCTGTAAATTAGGTAGACTTTTATTTAGTAATATAGATTTGTATTTATTTATATAAGTTCAAACATTTTTGTAATTCAATTATAAAATGCATTGTCACGGTACTTGCTGGACTATTGAGTGCATCTTTATATACACTGCATCAGTTACATTTGAAAATATAAATATATATATACAGCCAATAGAGCAAATCAAAGCCGATTTAATGACAATGATCAAAGCACTTTGGTCAATCCAATTCTATTTTGACAATAACTTTCCTACTCTGACTAAAACTCAATGGAGTCATAAATAAAAAGTCCATAACTCTGCTGACTATTGCCCTAATCACACAAAAAAAGAAGAAGTTTGCTTTCTCTGGGTGCTCCGGTTTCCCCTTCCACAAAAACATATACAATATTTCAGTGTGAATGAGTGTGTGGTTGTGAGTTTGACTGTAGGACAAAGGTTGCAAAATAGCCCAAGGCTACAATACAGAGAGGTGTGTTCATGAACATGCACTGTCCAAACCAAATAAAAAATAAACACATTATTTTGTTATAAAGGGCACCCGCCTCCAGACCAGAGGAGACCAATCCTTCCTGGCTGTTGCTCCCATGTTCTTCTGGTCTCTCTGCAGCTGATTGAGTCCGTGGATTCCTTCAAAGACAGCTTTAAACCCATTTTTTTGTGCAGGCTTTTACTTGATTTTCTTGCGGCTGTCACTGAGTTGTCTTGGCCATTTTATATTTGTTCACACATTTTAAAACTGAATTCTAACTGCATTTTATTTGCTTCAACCGTGAAGAGCTTTGTGGCTTTGGTCTGTAAAAGGCACAGTATAAATAAAGCTTACTTACTAACCACTTAGGTCGACCCACACAAACAGCATGAGGAGCATCAATACATTAAATGCATAATTTGTTACGCACTTTGTGTGACCTTGGTCTGTGCTATAGAAATACAGTATAGCTTACTTTGTATTACTCTTATGTAATGTGTGTACAAGAGGGTTCACAAAGATACAGAATGTTTTTTATATGTAGTATCATAATGAAAATTGGAAAAATGAATAAGCCATGTCACTGTATAGAAAGTGCACTGGATTCAAGAGCGTATGTATAACTGTTATAATTTGGACAATCACTGGGTTTTTCTTCACGTATTTCAGTCATGTATAAATTAAAGAGTACAATACAGAGCACCAGGCTTTGTTCATGAGGGACACTAACTGTAAATGCAATAAAAACCTGTTAAACAACCTTCAAACTACAGGTAAACGCACAGACCCACAGACGCTGAACACCTTTTCAGGATTATTCAAACATTTTAAAACCATGGCTCTCACCTACAGAAAGAGATTAATAATGGGGAAGAAAATGAATGAATGAATAAAAAAAGAGGGAGAAAAAAGTGGCTCCATTGATTCCACTATTGGAGGTGGTTAAAGCTCTTCATATGAGAACAAGACACCCCTCTGAGTTTTATCCATAACGCATTATTACATTGATAATAAGACATAAGTGCATAGTTGTGTAAGTCGTATCACTCTCTTTTCTGGGAGAGAGAAAAAGCTATAGAGTGGAGACAATGCAAAAAACCCTTCCTTGTAAATGTAATAAGCGTTGTTAGTCCAATCAAGCGTGTCTTATGAGTGCCATCATTTCTTAATAGTAACATCAGTGCTTGTGCAAATGTCACAGAAGACATCATTAAAAGATAGTTAGACAAAGTAAGTGGATGTTTTGACAAATATCTGCAAGAGATAAACTTGAATAAGACGTTGTTGAGTGTGAGATCTCCAGTTGACTTGAATGACATTGGTTTAAAAGGACATTACTGTAAAAATTGATTCGGAACGTCCATAGGAACACGCCTTAGTGTTTCTCAGCGTGGCACAAAGGTAGAATAATGAAATGCCTGCTTCTTGCTGGTCAGACGGGGGGGAACTGCTGGGAAGACCTTCTGACTGAGAATGAAATGAGGTGCGGCAAGAGCGGCTTTATGGGGAATAACCTTGGAAATAGAGTGAAATATGACTTTGAGTGTTTTACATTGGGTTTTCTGATCGTATGTGCCCGTTCTATACATGGATTAACTAATGTTGACGGATCCCCACGGAGTCCCATATGTTTCAACCACGGAGCGAACGTTTTTCATTGGTCAATTTCATGCTCGAGTGGGTCGCAATAAAGCGTTAGATGAAGTTGCAGAAAAAATTGTGAACATGAATTTAATTCCACACTGAAAGTTACATGTTGTATGAATGGCGGATGTGAGGAGAACTCTGATTTGTTCCGTTTTTTGGTGAGGTAGTATTTTATTACAATTTTTACTCCTCTTTTTTAAACGGTCTGAGACAAGGAATGCTTTGAGGTAATTAGCATATTGTGTGATGTATAAGGTGCCATTCACCAAGTAATAATACACATTACAGCAGTAATTTGGGGCGACATTGGTTCAGTTGGTAGAGCATTGGCCTTTGAGCCTGAAGGTCGTGGGTTCAACCCCACCAAAAGGCTTTCTCCACCGACTCCCACAGATGTCTGCTGTTGTTGTGTCCTTGGCAAGACACTTAACCTCTGGGAACACCAGGTTCCACAGTGGGGAGGCTGCGGCTGTAAAGTGCCAAGATGTCGTTGTGTCCTTAGGCAAGACATTTCACCCCCATTGCCTAGAATGAGTCTGGTGTGTGTGTGAATGGTTGGTGGTGGTCAGAGGGGCCGATGGCACATACTGGTTGCCTCACTTCTGTCAGTGCCCCAGGGCAGCTGTGGCTACAGTAGTAGTTTATCACCACCGTGTATGGAGTGAATGAATAATGACATGTGAAGCGTCTTTGAGTGTCCAGAAAAGCGCCAAATAAAACCGATGCATTATTATTATTATTAATTGTAATTATCTGCAATA